CTCTACCTGCCAGTCCGCCACCCGCAGCAACCGGTGCGGGTACGGCGTCAGCAGCTTCGGGAGCGTCACCTCCACCAGCGTGTCCACCGACCTGCTCGGACCCGAATTCAACACCTGCACGCACAACGGATGAATGTGAGCGAACGGCCGAGAGGGTCAACGTTATCTTGTTGGCGTCGTGAAAGATTTGCGAGCCCGGATGAACGCGGAGGTGTCCCTTGGACGCCAGTTTGAGAGGAAGCAAGCGTTAACGGGTGAGGCGCATGAATCGGCGCGCCGTTTGATGGCGCGAGAAACCACAGTCAAGAAGAATGAGTGAGACGACCTCCACCAAGGAATGAAGCGTGACCTTGTACGTGTAGTTGAAGCTTTGCGAGTAGCATTGGACCGCCGCGGCGTCGTCTCCAAACACAAACGACGTCGGAGTCACAAAACTGGTCAAAACAAACGAATGGCAAACGTCATTCGTTCGGCGGTTGATGCCCCGCCCCCCCAGCCCCCCAATCGATTATTTCTTGCATTGATTGTTATCACAAGATATTTCATACGATCCAAGTGAGCATCAGTGAACGAATGAAGGGTTACCCGTGGATGTTGACGTCGACGCCGTACTTGAGAGGAAGCGACAAGGCGACGGCGTTGTCGTGGAGATACTCGGAGCTTTCCAGGTTCTCACTGAGGACGCGGCACGAACTCGTGTCATCTTCCGTTGCGTTGCGGATACCCCCCCCCCAAAAAAAAGAAATGCTTTCCTCACCTGCTGGCGTGGGCGTGAACCACCAGGTGGCCCGGTGTCGCGTTGCGGTTGACGTCCAACAGGAAGCTGACGTTCACCTGCCACAAAAACCAAAAATTGCACTCGGCTCTTTGGGCTTTCACAACTGGACGTTGGGGCTGACCAAGGTTATTCGACTTTGTGAAAAAGAACATCAGAACGAAGAGCGATGTCACTTTTTTGCGTGAAACTCCATCCGGCACTGATAAAACGACCAACAGTGATCACATTTCTTGTCCTGCAAGAGCTTTGCGAGTCCCTTTCAAATGGAATGACGGTTCTGCTGTCGCCGGTTGGCACAAGCGCAGTCCTTGGTGAGCCCCCCACCCCCACCCACCCCTAATGCACAATCTGAACTGAAAATGAAGCATGCAACCAAGTCCCAAATGATTCTAACCCAGTCGCCTGAACGTGCAAGTGCAAAAAAAAAAAAGAAAAAATGAGAGGAGATGACTCGTTTCATGATGTCATACGCGTCGTATTTCAAAGCGTTACCAGGGAGCGAGATGCCAGGATGAGGCTGGAGAAGCTGCAGGCGACTCCGACCGTGATGCGGTTGGCTTCCTCCGCGACATCGCAACTCACCACCTTGTCCTCCTGCACGCGCACACACACCACAAGGGCCGGCGTCAAATGGACGATCGACTGTCGCTCGAGGGCGCGGGCGCGGGGCCCGTCCGGCGGCCGCTCACGTTGTCGACGACTTTGACGTAGTGCACGTCGCGGGGGAAGCGCAGGGCGAGCCGCGGCAGGAAGGCGTCGTCTCCGGCCACCGCCAGGCTGACGTTGAGCATCGCGCCGCGGCCGGAGCCCAGCGCAAAGTAGCGAGCGCCCCTGCGCGCACCGAGCTCCGTCAGCTTTTCAACCCGGTCCTGGCGAAGGGGAATACGGCGCGCCTGTTCCTTACCGAGGCAGGACCAGCGCGGCGTCCAGTCGCAAGTCCGTTGAACAGTTGGCCAGGACGCAGCGGCGAGCGAACAGCGTCTGACACGACAGACAAGTCGGCCACCCGTCACGTTGGGCGGACAAAGGACGGACGGACTGGTCGCCGCCATACCTTGCCGTATTGAGCTCTTAGCTGGCTTGGATTATGACGACGTTCGCTCGCTCCCCCTACCTGGTTGCTGACGGTATTGCCGTTCCCCGCCGCCCTCCGCAGGACCGGCCTGAGCGCCGCGAAGGCTTTGCTGGCATGCTTGTGAGCGGTCGTCTTGCGGAGGCTGTAGGACACTTCGAAACGGACCGGCGTGAAAACATCACGCACGTCCTTCTGCAAGGGCAAACACACCCGCGACGGCGTTAACGTCCGCAAATATCAAGCGCGCGCGCGCACACACTTGCACTGACACAAATACGTCAACAGACGCGCGCGCACACACACAAACACACACACAAAAACGCATGCATACACCCACGCGCTCTTATGCTAATAGCTAGCAGCAACAGCATCATGCGAAGAACAGCCGGTGAGCGTGGCGGCGTTTACCTTTCGATACGCCACGTGGTTGGTGCAGCCGAGCTGGCCGAGGCGCACCCTCACGCGGGCCCTCGTGCTATTGGATGAGCCGTTGCCGTGGAAATAAAAACGGTGGGGGAAGGACGGCTGGTGCAGGAGGTCGGAGGTCAGGTCGTACTGAAGATCTGATGAGAAAAGCGTGAGGTCAGCATCGGTGGGTGGAGGCAAAACGCCGAAAACTAAGACGTGATTAGCCTATTTTTGGTTAAGCTAACTCAGCTAGCTCATGCTCGTCTGTTTCATGTTGGAACCAGTTGTGGAATGTAGCTTCGCGTGAAATAAGGGTGCAAAGGCGAGGCCCGCTAAGCTAATTTGTCCATCTTATCGCTAAGATAGCCCATCGATCCGAACCTAATTGTTTTGTTTGAGCACTCGCTGGATCATGTTTGAAGGTTGCATTGCTGTTTAGGGTTTGCGAGTAAAATGTGACCGATCTCAGCTCATCAGCCTCCCTATGCTAAGCTAACCTAGCTAGTCTCTGCTAAGCTAACAAACCGATGGCTCCTTTGTAGTGTCTGGAGGTGACTCGGAAGCAGACGCTGACATCGATGCTGGCCGCCTGCTGCTGGATGCTCTCGGGCAGGACGAGCGAGGCCGCCACCTGCAGGACGGGACGAGACCTGCGCCGCACACAAACCTCAATCAGGCTTCCTGTTTCCCGTTCGCTCGCTCCTTGCTTTTTGTTTACCTGAGGACGACGGCGGCGTCCGAGAGGAACGCGCCCACGGCAACGTCTGCGACACACGCGCGACAATGTCAGTCGGTGCGCACGCACGCACGCAAATCCACCACCACGCAGGGATGCACACGCAACACGCCCGCGACGCAGTGTCACCTTGGTAGCCGTTGTCGTCGACGTCCACGCCCGAGCTCAGCGATTGGCCGAACATGCGGAGGTCAGCGCCCAGCACCGCCCCGCTGATCCTCTGTCAACACGATGATGTCATCAATGCAAAGCTAACCGGGCATGCAAAGTGTGAGCGTGCGAGCGAGCGCTCACTCTTGGAAAGAGAACGCCAGCGTGCGTTTCTCTTCTTGGACTGGCCTTTTTGGGGTGTGCTTTTGCGAATGGACAGCTCAGCACCGTGTACTTGTGTGACAGGAACGTCTGGGCGGTTTGGAGTGTGTGCGTATGTGTGGCGTCTGCTTGTTTGTTGTTGTGGGCGTGTCCTGATGTGTGGGGACCTGGAATGTGTGTCCTTGCGTGGGTGTTCATGTCCTGCATGTGTGCGTCGGATATGAACGGAAGTGCGTGTCCTTGTTCGCTTGTGTCAACCCGCGATGGAAATGCGTTTGTGCGCGCGTGTGTACCTGCGATGGCGTTTGCGAGATGCCGTGTCTCCCGCCGTTGTAGATGTACACGGCCCCTTTGAGATCGTCCTCCTGAGGGGCACCCACCGCCACCTCTTCACGCGCACGCACAAAACGAGCAGTAACAAGCATCAGTTGGGGAGCGCAGCAACGTCGGCGGCCTTTTGACTTCGGGTTCAGGTTCGCTTCGGCGTGCCGCTTACCCGGATAACCGTCGTCATCCAGGTCCCCCAAGTCCGCGATGGTCTCCCCGAATCGGGCGGCGAGGGCGTTGCCCCCGCTCAGCTGAAACTCCGCCTCCACGAGCTTCGCCTGAGTCGGAACGACGTCGTCAGTGCGGTCCCACCGTGTGTGGACCGACAAGATGGCCGCGGGGCCAACTCACCCGCCCCTGGTTGAGGAAGACGTGAACACGCCCCTCCTCCCTGCTGGCACCCGTCGCCATGGGAGCGCCCACCAAGAGATCCGATAGTTTGTCGCCATTCAGGTCCACTGCACGCACGCTAGCGCCAAAGTAGGAGCCGAGCTACGCACGCAATTACACAATGAGCATGACCAACAGTTGCTCACAACATTGGTGCTAATTGGCTGGCTGGAACAGTGCAGCTAACATCAGTTGGTAACACCATCGCTATTAGTTAGCATTAGCATTGGCATCAGTTGCTAATCGTATCTGGTAGCATTAGCGTGTTTCGTGTCGTATTGCTGCCAGCATCGGTCACGCTGGCATGATGAGTTACCATGACCTTTCACATCAGCATCAGTTCATCGTAGAGTAAAACAAGCCCACTCGTTAGCGACAGCCACAGTTGAGCACCCGGTGATCTTCTACTGTAGTTGTACTTAGTTAGCGTCAGCACGAGCTGGTATCTTTTAACGAGCATATTTGATTCCATCAGTGGTCACCTCTCTTCCAGAAACGTGAGCTAGCACACGTAGCATGTTGCCGTCCACTGAGAAGATAAACACCTTGGAGTAAAACAAAAAAAAGTTATTAAAAATGATATCTATAGCTTTAATGTTGTTGTTTTTTTTTTTTTGGAGTAATATTTGCTTTACTTTTCCTCTCTGGTTGTACTGCGGGGCCCCTCCCACCACCTCCAAGATAGAAGCATCCAGGAAGTGCCCTGCGTCCACTGAGTAGCCTGAAACATACAAAATTGTCGTTTTATCGAACTCTAAACAATAATCATAATAAAACGAGCATCTCATGTCAAAAAATGTATTCAAGCTAATTGGAAGAATCCTTTGGCTAATTGCTAGCTCACTGAAATGAACTGCTCGCATTCTTAAGCTAATTAATATCATCTGGGTGCTTCAAAAACAATCTTCAAACATTGCTAGGCTCATGAGGACAATTCTTAAGCTAATATCGAGCATTCTGAGGCCAATTACGAGCATTTGAGGCAAGAACATCATTGGGCTAATCACTAGCATCTCTAAGCTAATTACGAGCGTCCTGAGGCTGAAAACAAATGGATGAAAGCTCGTATTCGTATCCTTTCGCTTATTTCTAGCATCCGTAAAGTAACTGCTCGAATTTCTTCGGCAAATTACGAGCACTCCTAAGGCGAATAAACTGACGCCTGTTTCCTATTCGGTTCATTTTGTCCAATCAGATTTCATCGTCGTCTCTGCATACCAGCGCCCTTCACCTCTCGAAAGACACGCTGTATTGAAGGTGATGACGGAGGCTCTGCGAGTGGCCACAAACGCTGACGTCGTGTGCTCATTTCGTGACGTTTGCTCCGATGGAAAGAGCGGGGGGCTGAGAGCCCCTCGCCGTCAAGCGCAAACAGCAGCACCAATGATTAACTTGATGTCAAGCGCGGTGACGTCCTTGAGCGTGTCTCTTAGCACCTGTTAGCGCCGCGCCAAGGCCCCCGTTTGTGTACTCGGCAAACTCGGTTAACGGTGGCGAACGCCGCATTCGAGGGGGGTGGCCAGCCTTTGAGCAGACGACCTGGGAGCTTTTGAGTTGCAAAGTCAGAGAAAACAAATCAAGGAGCCCCGACTTCACCAACCGACGCTTCAAGTTGACGTCACTTGACAAACGGCGACGTCCGTAACGAACGAGATTCCAAACGTATCTCGCAAACATATCAATGCAGCGGAAGCCGCCTTACGTTAGCGGAGGCCCGTCGCGTCCCGTCATTGCGTTTCTGCGGTGTCGCAAAGACGCCTTCGGACCTGAGCCGCCGCCGTCTCGGAAACGGCGCGCCGACGTGTTTGCGCGCCCCGGCGGTCGGCTCACCCAAGTAGCTTCCGAAGCCCACCGAGCCGTCGTCGTCCAGGTAGACGGACATGACGCCGCTGGACGTGTTGAAGACCAGCACGGAACCCGTCCAGTACGACGTCCCCGGAGCGCCCATGATGATCAGGTCCTGAGCGATGATGCGTCCGGCCGGACGAGACGTGGAGGTCAGGACAACACGGAGGCCACAACGAGACATTGACTTGACCCAAAGACTCATTGGCCGTCGGGCTGGAAGTGTAAGTCTTCCAAAAATCGCAGGACATTTGTTGTGTTCTGTCACGACAGAAGCATTAAAAAAAAGAAAAAAAAACTTCCAAAAGAAAGCGTAGATGCTCGCCTTTGACCAGAAATAAGAAAAGTTTGTCGCCGTGGTCTAGAAATCAGCTGGAGAAGATGCATTGGCTGTTGCGTTTCGAGGACTCAACCCATGATTGGCAGTTTAACTCATCCGATCAATTGTTGGTCAATCGCTGACTTTGCCCATGAGGTTGGAGATTTTTGTCACACGTCACCGACTTGAGTTTTTCACAGAATACCTGCGATCGGGTCGTTATCGGGAGGCCTAATTCAGACTTTTGACCCGCGTCGTCGTCACCTGAGCGAGTCGGTTGGCCATTCCAGCTTGACAGGAGCCGTACTCCTCGCCAAACTTCCTCTGGTGGTCTGCAACGCACACACACGGGCGCAGGCGCGTCAAAACCTTCCACGCAGACGTCGGATGCCAAAGACGGCATTTCGCGCAGGCGTCGAGTGTGCGAAATCCAAAGACGGGAAATCATGTCCGGCGGACACCCGCAAAGACGGACAATGTTAAACTAAACAGTGAAAGCACATCGCTCCAAGCACATTTTGTTTGGCCCCGCGCCGAGTCGCGCGGCAGTCGCCTTCAAGCTACTCGCTCCGCGTTTTTTGAGCGCCCCTTCTCCAGAAGACGGAGGGCGCGCTCAAGACCGGCTCACCACACCGCTGCCTTTTATGTTGAAGCTCTCACTTTGGACAGAAGGATACGGACTTGTTGCCATTTCTTGAACGCCCCCCTCCCCCCACCCCACTTCTCCACCGTCCGGTCATACAGATGTACTTTCACTCAGCGTGCGTGCGTGTACCTCTGTAGCAGGGTATGATCGGCTGCGCGTGCGCGAGGCTGTCGTCGTAGCGATAACAAACGCCGTGCGGCAGTTTGTTGTTCTGTCTGTCGTTCCTGGAGTAGAACACGTTCTTCCAGCGGTGTGCGCAAGCCTACGCGCAAACGGTGCCGGGCAATTGCAACCCATGTGCACGCATGCAAAAAAAAAAAAAAAAAATCATCAATAATCAAGATTTTAAAAAGACAATAAAAAGTAACAGAAATGAAAACAGAAAATGTGTAAAACCAAAATGGAAGAAGTCAAATACATAAAATAAAGGGTGACCAAAAAATGGATTTAAAAAAGGAAAATGAAAACAAATCCAATTCGAACAAAAGATAAATAACTTTTCAATGAGATCAATAGAGGCAAGCGCGTCCATAAATCCAAAGTGCGGACGAAACCGGCACGCGCGCTCATGCGACGATCTCGCGAGCGACACATTCAGTGACATCACCCGAAATAAACGATCATGTCTAGTAAGGCGATTTTAGCCGAAAAAAATGACCATGTATATAGTAAGGCGTTTTTAGCCCAAAAAAAACGACCATGTATAGTAAGGCGTTTTGAGTCGAAAAAAACGACCATGTATAGTAAGGCGTTTTTTTGCCGAAAAAAACGACCATGTATAGTAAGGCGTTTTTAGCCGAAAAAAAACGACCATGTATAGTAAGGCGTTTTTGGCCGAAAAAACGACCATGTATAGTAAGGCGTTTTTGGCCCAAAAAACGACCATTGTATAGTACGACCATGTATAGTAAGGCGTTTGTGGCCGAAAAAACGACCATGTATAGTAAGGCGTTTTTGGCCCAAAAAACGACCATGTATAGTAAGGCGTTTTTGGCCCAAAAAAACGACCATGTTTAGTAAGGCGTTTTTAGCCCAAAAAAACAACCATGTCTAGTAAAGCGTTTTTAGCCGAAAAAAATGACCATGTATAGTAAGGTGTTTTTAGTTGAAAAAAACGACCATGTATAGTAAGGCGTTTTTTTGCCGAAAAAAAAAGACCATGTATAGTAAGGCGTTTTAAGTTGACGTGTCGTTGGCGTTTCGGCTCGCCTTCTCGGCCGCTCCACACTGAGAAACATCGGCAGTGTAAGTTTGATTTGGAATGCCCGTGCGCGTACGGCGGGGCCCGATTTACGATAGAAGTGATCATTTGTGTTGTGTACCAACCAGGACGTGTCCTCCCGCTCCGCCGCGCTGGCCGGCTTGTCGCGACAGGCTGACGCCCAACCACTGGTGGTCGCTCTCGGCCGAGCACGTCTTCCCGCACTGCGCCACGTCTATGTGGGCACACAAATGGCTGTTATGTGCGTGCCGGGCCTCTAGGTGGCCACGGTGGGGCGACTAGCATCGCATCAAAAGTAAGAAATGAACAAGAAAACGCCCCCCACAAAATACCAAAGTCATCCTAAATTCAGGACACACAGACACACACATATGCAAAGACGTACATCCAAAAAGCATCCGATTCACAAGACACAAAACCCCACCTGACCAATCAGGCACAAATACAAAAGCCCGCTCACCCACCCACCCAAGGACAGACGCATGGCAAAAGCTCGCAGGTGAAGCCGTCATGCGTACGGCAGGCCCCCGGCTGGCGAGGATGGCCAAGTCGAAATTTGGACTTCAATCATTCCGGAAATTGGAACGAGTAAATCCAACCAAAAATTACCGGCGGGCATCAGCCGGCAGTTTGGTTGCTCCGTCGCGATGGCGCAACGGTAAACGCCGCCTGGAGACAACGAAGAAGACGACGAAGAAGAGTTGTCCACTGGAGCCCCCACCACCAACCTAACCCACACACACACACACACACACACACACACACACACACACACAGAGGATGTGTGCATGAGGCACGGGTTCGAGCATGCCAATTGGCCCCACCCCCGCGACCAGACGCCCGCCCACCCACCAGCTGCGCTTCCCGTGCCGGTGGAGCAGCACCGAGTATCCGAACATGGAGGCGGGAGCTCCGTCGAAGCGCAGCGCCTGTTCCACGTCCAAGGTGTACCCGGAGACCAAGACCAGGACCCGGAGCAGGACCGCCATCAGGACCGGCCCGGAGGCTGCGGGACGCGCCGTCATCTCACTGCGGGATGAGTGACAAAACGATTGGCGCTGAGGACATTTGGAGACTTTCCTCTGCTTGCGCAAACCGTGGAAAGTCGGAAAGAGGACAGGCGGGATATCGGCGATCCCGAGCGCTTGGCATCCGCGACGCCGAGCAAAGCGCAAAGGCGGGCCGACGAAAGGCCACTTCCAACGCCAGGTGGCGCGTGCGACAGAGAAGGCCGACCTCGCCGAAGCACCAGTCGCCCGATGTGACGGAAAAGTCCACGCGACTCAGAAACAATCCGCACTCAAATCAAGAGGTGTCCTCTGAAATGCCACACATGGGCCAAGAGCTCCACGAAGTTACTTTGCGACGCTTCACACCTGCTGAAAGGTCATGGAAAGTCGAGAAAACGCTCCTCAATTGATGACAACTCGCACCAACGGCGCCACGGCTCTGACGATCAAGTTACATGAAAGGCCGGCCCAAAACTTTTGAAGGCGTGCTGAAAAGGGAACATTTCATTCACATTCCAAACGCAAATCAGAAGTTGTTGTTTTAGCTTCGTCGGGAGCCAGCGAGAATCAAATGTGTCACATGTTCGAAAAAAAATCCCTTTGGTGGCTCACATGGCTTCCGAATGGCCTGAAAATAGATTTGCGTTGAAAAACCGTTGAAGCCAACAGGAATTGTCAACGCGTGCTACATCGAGCGCTCAAACGCAGGTAGGTTCGTTTTTTTTTAGCTCCCTTGTGAGTTTGGTATGGAAAAAAAAAAGCATTTTGGACCTTCGGTGGATTTTCGAATGACGTCACACACCTGTCCCACGTGTTCTTTCCACTCATGAATGAATGAACGAGACAAATAGCACGCGATCAATGGTGGAGGGCAGTCTTCATTCATTTGGCTCCCTTCCATTCAAATGTGTCACATGTCCCCACTGGGGGCT